GACGTACGTACGTACGTACGTAACGTAACGTACGACTACACACAACGAAGAGGAGGGAGGGAGGGAGGAGACGTCGTCGTACGTAGTGTTCGTTGTGTGTGTGTGTGTGTGTAGAGAGAGAGAGAGAGAGAGAGAGAGAGAGGTGTCCATGATCTTTTTGGGATTATACTTAACCCATTGTAACAAAGTCCGAGGCTCGGACTCTCTGGTCTTTACTTATGTTCTTTCATTTTGTGCATTATGCAGGCAGACTCACCAGCTTATATGGCTAATCTGCGAGAAATCTTTCCCAATCTTGTACAGATTGACTCCACAGTGTTCGCATAGAATTTGGCATTGCTTGAACACTTCACCCCAAAGATGAAAGTTCTTGAATTTTTCGCACAATTGAATGTATAAAAGTTTACGATACATCAGTGCCATTTGGTCACCCCATAGCTCATGGTAACATCGCTTTCTGAATTTTGTTTCACTTCTCTCTTTCTTGATGGATGAGATTTGATATGTTTCATTTTTTTCATGTTGTCATTGTTTGTTGTGTTAATTAGAGCTCTTCTATTTACATGAAAGTGAAAGTGTTTCTTTGTTTTTTTGTTTATTGTCAGATTTCAGGCTTGCCAGTGAAAGGTTTGGATTGCCGGCCAATCTATGGTGGTGCAGTTAACTTGTTCTTGAGTCTCAGAGGATTTACTGGTTAATTTAACTGATTCTGATAAGTTTTCATTTGGTTCCCAAAAAATAATGTATATTTTCTTAAAGTGAATTTTTTCTTCTAACTTGTTGAGATGTTAGTTTAGGAATCTCTCTCTCTCTCTCTCTCTCTCACACACACACACACAGGATTAAGGATTAATTTGTTAGATAAAAGTATTCTATACGCACACTGAAATTTACTGTAGTGCTTTAACTTCACCCAGCTGTTGGATGTCAATAAGTAACTGAAAAAGTGTATTGCTTCTCTTCTCAAAGTCTGCAGATTTGGAACGACATCCCAGTCGTCCACTGCAGATATCAGACGTCTGAAGCTATGTTAAAGCCTTCTAGGAACTTAAGGGTGCGCGTTTTATGTGATCCTTATCTAGAAACTGAGTTAATTTTCTTTGCCAAAAGATTATATGCTCCGATCCGAGCAAATTGTCCATCATTTGGGTACAAATATGCCTAGGAGCATTTCTAGGATGTAACATCCTCAAACCTATCAACCAACTTTTACAAAAGAACAGAGAAAAAGAAACATGTGTTATTACATGTGCTTGAAGAAATAACGTCCTAAAAGATTGAACAGAGAACCATTCAATTTTCTTTAGATATTTAGATGTAAATGTTTAGGAACTTCAGGTCTATCAATTTAAAAAATGTTCATGTGGTGATTAATCAAATAGATGCCAAAATTGTAGGCCATTTCTTTAGCACCTCTTTACTTGAGGAAGTACAATGTGTTTTAAACATAAATCATTATTGGAAAATTGTTTCAGGCTGCGGGGACTGCATTTCTACATTTGCGGTCCCGATCCCGAGGTATAAAGCATCTATTTTAAAGATAGATGCAAATAGGTGGTCCATCTAAAAACAATTGAAACTAATGGTCCAAATGTTTTATTAATAGAATTTTATTTCTAATTTTTAAAATGTTTTTTTATTTTTTCATCTCCATGTTAGAGATAACATGTCCCTAAAAATTAAGTCCAAAAATCCATCTTAAAAATAGATTTTTCAGAAGTGAAATTTCTACATGGACTCATAGAAACCGTGTCCATCATTATTTGTGATGCTTATTGGTTGGTGAGGTTGTCACAAGTATAGAACTCTCTCTCTCTCTCTCTCTCCAAAAGTAACTTTGTGCCAGTTACTTATAAATTGAATTTGTCTTTTTTATCATAGAGTTCTAGTGTCAATAACAATTTTGGGTGGAATTTATATAAGGCTGGCGCCTTAAACAATAAGAGTAAGGTGCACTCTGAACTGATGCTGAAAGACGTGGTTCGATTGCCGTTAATCTTTGTAATAGTCCTTAAATCTATTTCCATATATAATTATGAAATTTAAGGTTTAAAAAAGAGTGTCAATTAAGTAGTAGATCTATAAATACTCGAAAATCTTGGAAATGGGTATTTAAGATAATAAATTACAAAATGCACTTTTTTTAGGTTTTGAAATCCACTTTTTTCTTTTCACATCGATACATCTTAGGGTCGAAATTATTTTTTGGAAGATTTTTTGGTATCAAAATAGCCTTTTCTGCTGAGTTTTGAGGTAAACTTTTTTTTATAGTACGAGGTTAACACATTATACAAACTTTTTACTAACAATTATGGCTAAATCTTAGTAAAATAAATTTATCACAATATTTTATGGCTTTTGTTATTATTGTGATAGGGACTTTTCTAATAATAGTATGTATGAAAATTTGACAGTAAAATTAGCTATTTGAATTAGAAAACAAACATGTTTTTATCCAAAATAAGCCATAAAATTTCAATAAGGCAAATATTGAGCAGAAGAAATATTTTATATGAACAAATCAAATCCTATTCCGGGTGGATCAAGATGAATGAAGAAATAAAACGTAATTTTGGAGATAAAAAATAAACTATAGATAAATCCAAGCAATTTTTTCTTAAATCCAAATGATATTTTTACAAGCGTCTGCCCCCAATTGGATCGGGGGATCAAATTGATTATAAAAACATGAGTTTAATTGGTCAATTTGACAAGAGATTAGAAGTTCAATTAATTAATTACCGCAATGAATTTTGAGTTTAAATTTTGATGCACAGCAAAAGTTATTGTTAATTTTGTCATTTGTAAAACTTTTTAACCTATTTTTGTTTCTGGCTATAATGTTAATGTGAATTCATGTTTCTTAATCTAAATAAAACTTTATTCTATCACCACTCATATATAAACGTCGAAGTAGTAATTCGAAAAGCTCAATGCTGGGAATCTTGCATCTATATGAATATATCAATCAAACCTATCTTAAACAATCAAATCAAGGTACACTTTCAAACCCTATTGGAAGATGTAATTTTAATATGGATAGCTTAAATGATGGCTAGAAAATCTGTTTCAAACCCTAATTCTGAAAATTTATTTTTTAAAAATAGTGCAGAATAGGTAGATTGATAAATACTTAAAATCTTGAAAGTAGACAATTATGATAATGTGTTACAACATGCATTATTTTTAAGACTTGACCGTATTTTTGTAAAGTAATGATCCTCTGAGTCCCTCACACACCCATGTGTGTAGAACCCCAAAGGATCACTATTAATTTTAGCACAGATCTCTAAAAAAATCAAGTCCCACACCCATGTAATAACTTTTGTAGAGATCTGTGCCAAATTTAATGGTGATCCTTTAAGATCCTTTACACATGGGTGCGGGAGGGTCTCATAGGATCATTACTCTTTGTTGTATCTATAAATCTCGAGATTGAAATGATATAAGAACAATCTTTTCCAACGGACTTTTGAAGTTTGCCGCACTTTTGTAGTATAAAGTTGACAACTTTATAGACCTTATTTCCAGAGATGAAATGGTGATGGCCCGATTGTGGTTTCCAAATCCAAATGTAAGGTTGAGATTGGGGTTGGGTTGGGGGATTTGGAAATCTACACCTCTGGTATTTTTTTTTTTATCTCATCGTGGGACTGAACCTAATCGAGCGATTCTAAGTTGGCTCATCGATCAATTTTTGAAAAGCTTTGTATCCTTCAAAAAACTAGATCAGACACGATTACAACTTGAGGTACTGCATAGGGCATGCACCAAAGTAATGTAGGCCACAGCCCGCTCCTCCTTACAGGGATATAGCCGACCTAGCTTGGACCAGGTTCCCAATAATAACAAGGAAAAAATCTAAAGAAAAATAAAATGTTAGCTGTTCCAGTTTTCGATAGCCATGCTGGGTAGAATTGGAACCGGCCAGGTTACTTGGAACTGGCATTTGGCCGGTCCAGTTTTAGCTAGTTTTTGTGGTCAAATTCCAAACTGTTTAAAAGAATTGAAAAAATTTAAAAAATTTAAGAAAATAAGAAACTTATTTGTAATGTGTTTTCTAATGTTTTCTATCATTTTGGTAAAGATTGGACGGTGTGTGAGCCATGAATATTTATTTTTATATTTTTGTTTTTTGAAATATGTTTAGAATGTTCCTAGATCATTTCAAAAATACCCCCATTGATTTAGATGTGTTTCATTTAAGTTTGGGTGCTCCTAGATCATTTCACAAATACCCCCATTGATTTAGATGTGTTTCATTTAAGTTTGGGTGCGGTTAGCATGCAGCCAACCTGCATATTGTAAAAATGCTGGGTTGGGAATAAATATATTTTTTAAATGTAATTTGTTCTTAATTTTTAGGGTATGGATAATCTTTAACATGAAGATCATGATTATGAAAAAAAATTGAAAATCAGAAATAGTAATTATATTAAAAAAATATTTGTATCTTTAGTTACAATTGTTTTGGATGGACCACCTATTTATGTCCATCTTTAAGATGGATGCTTTATACCTTAGGAGCGCATATTGTTTTATGCGATGGCCCGCATGAAACAATTGTTCTTTAAGTTTACCACAAACACAATCTTCATATTTGTTGAGTGTATTTTATATTTGGGTGTGGTTTTTACAAGGTTGCAACCTTAAACAATCCAATTAAGGCGCACCTCCAAAAATTATCATAACACGTAATTTTGTTGAAAAAAATTCTTAAGATTATCTTAAAATCTATTTTCATATTTAATTACAAAATTTTAAACTCCAAAAATGATGAAAGCAAGTAGATCTATAAATATATGAAAATCTTGAAAATGGTTGGTGTAGATAATGTACTGCAAGATGCACTATTTTTGGAACTCAAAATTTTTTTTTTTCTTATTCATACTTTTTAATGTCTAGACGATCAATTAGATGTTTTTTTCAATAGTAAAACAATTTTTTATGGTAGATTTTTTGAGGTGCATATATAATTCTACATTTTAAAGTTGCAACATTAGATAAACTTTTTCCTTTATATTCTTATTTTTTTAATAATTTTTTGCCGAACCAAAACCTACCCAATTTTTGTGAATTACACCGAGTCGATTATAGGTTGCTCAGGCCGGCAGGCCCATGTTTGGGTTCCGTGCCCGAACACAGAGCGGTCCAATCGTGGCTCGGCCGCATAGGGCAAGGCCCAAGAAAGGCTCGAACCTCAACATGGCGGCGTGCAGAATTTTCACGAAATTTCGGCAAAGCTGTTGGGTTTCGTCGGGAAAAGGAGTTTACGTCTTGTGAGAGTGCCTCACGGGAGCATAAATTTTGGGCCGCGTGACCTCATCGCTACTTTGGTCGATTCTCTCTCTAGGATCCCCTGTGTTTCTCTCTCTAGGTACGCGTGCAAAGGGATTCTAAACTTTGTTCAAACTTCAAAGTTTCAGGGAATTTCGGAAAAGTTCAGGTTCCATGATGCTCTAGGGAGCGTGTGTATATTGTGTACTGTTACTGTGTACCGATACACATCAGCATATCAGCCATCCATTGTTCCTGATGGACGGTGGATATGAACTATAGGTCTTCTCATCAACCCTCGTGTGTATCGCTATGTTTTAGACAAATTGTGTAACATAGCATCGGTACCTGATTGTTCATTGTAGCATGGTCAGCTTTTACTCCTTTTCCATGATAATTCTACGATTGCACAATATGTATCGATATCGATGATTTAAAAAACATCGGATTGGTACGGAATCATCGATCTTAATTAGAAATTGGTCACGCATTCTAGTTC